ATGTCTTCAGTTTATATAAGTGATGTAATCTCCATCATGCAGAAGAAATTTCCAACACATTAAAAACACTTGAAGGTTCAGTGCTACTAATATAATCCTGAGTCAGTTCCATGTACTTCCCATCCTTGGAACTTCCTTACAATCCAGATTAATGCTATTTGTTTCTATCCTTAATCTTTCTAATGGCTGTTTCCCACCATCAAAATTCAGCATGCAGTCCTTTCCCTCCATCTAACCCATATGTTTAGACACTGGTAACCACTGATTTTACTAACCTAACCTGATGAGAAAAACATAAAAAACACACAATTTTGAAGTGAGGTAATATTTATTTAACATACATATAATAAAATAGTGCTTTAAGTGTAAACCACATAACAAACATCAGTGTTATGTTTTCAAAGGATACAAAAAGACTTCCAAAGAATCCATTTGTAAGGAGCATCCGCCTGCTGATGAAGTATTTCTTCCAGTTTGATCCTGCTTTCAGTAATATTAACAGCTGAAAATGACAAATTCTGTAAGAACACAGGAGACATGGGATTTAAGCTCTATTAACAGTACTAATTACTGAGAAAAGTTCTAGTCAAGTCAAAATGTTTTTCATTCAGATGAATTGAACAGGTTCACATTTTCATATCCCTGTACACAAGTGAAACACTCTTTGTACAAGATCTCTATATATCTAATCAAACAGGATTGTCCAACACAACATATAAGGTTGGCCAAGATACCACTTATTCCAACTGATATTTTTAGTAGACTTCATTCAGCCATTCAAGTTTCTCTATAGAAATGGGAGTGTTTTACACTCCCGAACAGTACTGTATGTCACATGATGATAATTTGAGTAAACTCTGATAGTAAACTGTTGTTGGATTGAAGAACATAAACTGCAGTGTGTATTGTTGAGTAGTGGCCAGCTGGCACAGGTAGAGAGGCACAAAGCTAGCTGGGTGTGAACATGTTAATAATGCACTAGATTAATTAATGCTGTGTTCAGTAGTTCCAATCAAGACTGTGTTAGGTTCCTTTAAAAATACAACTACTTTTATTGGTCTGATATACAAACCCCAATATATTATGACAATTCAGTAAAAACTGAACTTACCCAGAGTCCAACCACAGCAAATATATAGAAACCAAAGCCATAAAAGCCAGTGATTCCAAGCAAACCAGCTGTTCCTCCTGACAAAGCTGCCATTGATGTTCTGCAATACTCTACAACACTGGCATTATTTCTTACTGCTATTTCACTATACGCTACAATCTCTGTAAACAAAAATGGTCAAATAGTGGACTCAAAGTGTTGAACTTTAATGGCAAATACACGAGATGTCAGTTAGATTAAAAAATGAATATACAGTCCATTAAATTAAATTACTCTAACCTAACCCATTGCTTATATTTGGATTCACTGGAAAAACATAAAATTATGTCCCAAATATAAGAAAATATTGGTTTAAACTTTGCTAGTACAATTACAGACATGTCACTACACAGAAGTAAGCTGGGATTTAAAAAACAAAGCATCCATAAACTAGAAATAATTATTCTTGAAAACACTGGTATCAAAATAAAATTTCTTGCCACCAAGCCAACCTGTTGTTCAGGATATGTTGAGTCCTGCCTTAAATAATAACTCAAATTCAGTGACAGGTTAGGGAGTAGCTTGTAAGTTTTATGTGAAGTCTTGAGGTACAGGCATTCAAAGATCTACACCATGAAGACACATTGGGAAGTATAAATAAAACAAGCTCCAAAGCAAGAGCATGGTTGCAATGAAAACACTTCCCATCCTTGTCATCCAACTGCAGTTAGTTACTTTATAGGCTGAGCTATACTGGTGCATTATGTCAGATCAAATAACTATAAACAAAACCTAAAATTTGGTGAGGTTACCTCATTGTAAAGACGTATTATTAATAATACTAGAGCAAACATGGTCATCCTTAAAACTGACATTCTTGAAGCATGGTGATTTACAAGAAAAATCATATTTTTGAAGGTGGGCATAACTCCATATGGTTTCTGCTGCTTAAGACAATTTTTCTTCGTTGAATCCTGGGTGAGAATCTAAAAATTATTAACCTCATTTACCGCAGTGAAAGTATTTGAGGATGCTTCTCACAAACTTGGTCACAAAGACACACCAATGCTAATCATACTGTTTCGTAACGTACCTCCAGACTTTTCAACTTTTGTTTTAACTCTCCCGATCACCATGTTTCAACTGTATAATCTATAATGAAAGTTGTAGACGTTTTACAAGTAAATAGTGAAACAAAACAACCAGTACAGTAATGTAACTCAATCCAATGATTTATACCACTATTGATAAGCTACAGTTGGTATGCCTTGCATCTCCAACGTGGCCTGAAAGCATCTATCACTTGTTACCACAGATAACAATGGCTATGGAGAACTTTCAATGAATATGTTTTCCCACTAAGAGATGGCAGCACCAAGGGAAAAGAATTATTTCCCATAGTCTGCCTCCTGGTGGATCCTACTTGCAACCCACTTCCAATGAAAGTCTCTGCCCATCAGAACGTATTAAAACAAAGTAGTCACGATATTTCCACGTAAAATAGATTCAGAAACACAGCGACAAAATTTATAACGGCGAAAAATTGATCAAAATTGGATGAGACTATCCCGGTTAGAAGTGAACACTGAAAGACAAACTTAAACGCAATATTGTCTGGTTTATTATTTTATGAAAAACAGGATTATGGTATATCCCGTGAGGTCAAATCTTGCAGGTCGGGGAGAACTGGAATTAAGAGCAGTGATAGATAATTCTTGATTTGACTTTCTTTACCCTTTGAAGCCAAAGCTTTCATCTAAATAATATTTAACAATGAAATGAAGATAAATCCAGGTAAAAGTAAAGCAGTCAGCTTCAATAGAGCTAGGGTGAAGGATAAGCTGAGTTACTTTTTTGGGGATCAATTAATTCCAGAGGCAAATAGCTTTAAGTACTTAGGAATACTTATTCGCAGTGATCTGAGCTGGGCAGATCATGTGAATTATACACTAATTAAAGCATGGAAGGCTCTCCATTTCGTAATGCGTATACTAAAAAAGGGAAATAACAATACGAAACGTTTAGCTTATACGTCGCTAGTGAGACCGATACTTGAATATGGAGCTGTGTGTTGGGACCCTTACAGGGAAGGACAGGTAAGAGCACTAAATCGGGTGCAGAAGAGAGCGGCTAAATTTGCTAATTTCACGAACGAATCTGGTTGGGAAACATTGACACAGCGTAGATTGATAGCCCGAATGTGCGCCCTTTTCAAAGCATACACGGGGGGCCGGGCTTGGAAAATGATAGAGGATAGATTATTAAAGCCATGCTACCTGGGCAGGGACGATCATACTCGGAAAATTAGGACTAGGAAACAAAGAACGGATGTAGGCAAATATTCCTTTGTAAATAGGACCATAAGAAGCTGGAACCAATTACCTCCAGGCGTGCTAGAGTCTTTCCCCTGTAAATTAGGCACCTTTAGAAAGAGGGTCAGAAAAGTAGTTACAAGCTAAGGGTTATTAAGTTGGGAATAAATGGTGATAAGTGAAGTGAAGTGTCTTAGTCTCCAAGTGATGAAGGGCTGTAGTTCTTTGGGATAAAATTTTCATGTACTGAGAGCGGACTTTATATTCCACTCTTAAGTATTGTGATTAATTAGTGGATGTGTGTTTTTTTATTGTGTGTCAGATGTTTTATTTTGAGTGTGGTATGTTGTATTGTTGTGTCTCATTGTATTGTTGTGTGAGTGCATCAGTTCATGACGTTTGTAATACATTACAGTTATTGTCTTATGTCTAGGTGGTATTAAGTTCTTTTTTTTAAGTTAAGTACTTGAGGTTGGATGGTTTTGTAATTTATGAGTTGGTTGATTTTGAGTGGGATGTGTTGTTTTTGTTGTGTCCTTTTTTATTGTTTTGTTCTGTCTCTGTGTTGATGTATCTCATTGTATCCCTTTTTTAATTGTTTTGTTCTGTCTCTGTATTGATGTATCTCAGTGTTTGTTGTGTCTTATTGTTTTTGTTGTGCCCTTTTTTTTATTGTTTTGTTCTGTCTCTGTGTTGATGTATCTCATTGTTTATTGTGTCTTATTGTTTTTGTTGTGTCCTTTGTTTATTGTTTTGTTGTGTCTCATTGTGTTGATGTATCCCATTGTTTGGGTGTCATATTGTTTTTGTTGTGTCCTTTTGTTTATTGTTTTGTTCTGTCTCTGTGTTGATGTATCTCATTGTTTATTGTGTCTTATTGTTTTTGTTGTGTCCTTTGTTTATTGTTTTGTTGTGTCTCATTGTGTTGATGTATCCCATTGTTTGGGTGTCTAATTCGTATAGTTAAAGACTCGTACGCGGGCCGCAAAACCACATCGGCAGGTTGAGAACCCCTGTATATAATATCTACATTATAAGTACAGCATCAATAATAACATAACAAGCAGCAAATCAAGAGATTAATTCTGCAGTCAGTTATTGTATATTCAAACTTGACTTACTACATGATTAAATTTCCAACATTCTCTACCGATTTTGTGTTGGAAACAAGTGTTATGCATCTGAAATGGATACATCTGTGTACGTTACTTCTGTATTAACTACTGAGTTTTTGTACATTCGAATGAAAACGGCAAGGTGTGATAAAATACAATGTGAACAGAAAGAGACACGCCCGATTTTAAACTCTTCGGGATTCGTCTGCAGCACAACTGGAACAAATTTTTGGACCCAGGATAGTGCTGCCACGCGATAAACTTCAGTTTGCCAACAGAAATGTTGAGTTTTTTATTGACAATATTATGCCTCGGCAAGTTTTTCTCATCCACAGCATTTACAAAGTACTACTACTGTTACCTGAAAATTAACAATACAAATCGAAATTTTGACGAAAGTATATGTTTTGGTGCACACAATGTACGTATCAATTGTTTTAACTTTTATTTAAGAAAGAGAACGGTATCTCAATAAAACTGAGGTTTCATGAATTTCTTAACATCTTCAAAACACTATTCAGATTTTAGAATGAATAATTATTACGTACATAAATTTCGTCCGGTCTCTGCACTTGAACAGTTATGCTTTTGAAGTCGTGAAGGTGCATAAGATTTATTGCTGAAACGAAAAGTGATGTAGTAACAACGTCGGCTGACCTTACTAGCTCGAGAAAAAGCTTGACCTTTAACTGGAGGTAAGGGGAGACGAGTCTCTCCCTCTCCTGTTCTGTGCTGGTAGTCGCAGAGACCAACTAAACAGCTCCTCCAGTTCACATTGTCCGCGCCATGTTGACAGACAATCTGTGTAGTGTTAATCTGCAGCTGCTGTGGGTTCTGCTTCTGGTCACGGGAATCACCGCTAAGATCCCGTGGTGGAACATCAAGATAGCCCAGGAGCAGGGGTGAGTAGCTTATGACACACAATTAGTTACGTAGCGACGGTCTCTCAACTGCATAAATGCATCATGAAATAAACAGACCTAAAATACTGAATGTTTCGTTTAAAACGAAAACCGAACAAAACTATTTGTAAGCTTCTGTTTTTTGTTTTGTTTTTTCGTACCCAGTACACACCATTCTTTTTCTCGTATCCAGTATGCACCATTCAGCATGGTGTGCATTGGTGGTTAGCAGGATTCACGACCCATCAGCACATGGGTTCGACCGGGACCGCGACATTTAACGCTACTGCTGTGATCCCCTTTTAGCGAAATGATGATGAAACCGGGGAAACACCAGTGGAAAACTCCGTGATGCCTGGACCACTCGGAAATCGTCCAAAACGACAAATTTCGACATTTTTTGAAATTTATCAAAGACGGAGAAACCGGGGAAACCCCAGTGGAAAACTCCGTGATGCCTGGACCACGGCCTTGCCCAAAACAAGTTGTAAATCTGAGCACCGCCGGAAATCGAATCCCGGACCCCAGTATTACAAGCCCAGCGTTCTAACCGCTAGACCACCGTGGCGGTGTAAGCTTCGGTGACATAATTATAACAAGAGAAACGAGTTGGTTTTGGCTTTCATTTATTAAGAACTTACCGAACATCTTTACATTAGATGCTGAAAATGTTCACTACCTTCTCGAAGACAAGTATCCACCGAAATTTTACCAGTTGGTGTACAGTTGTCTTATTCGGTACTTCCTATGCAGGAAAGTAGCGAAGGCTTTCGATTTGAAGGAATTTTTGAGACTGCTAGTGAATACACCATGTTCGCAACTACACAAATTTTGCGCAAATTACGTGAGCAACGACCTAGTAACAAAGATGACCTTGACTCGGGTGTCGCAGGGGAGAATGACAGAGTCTATTACACGGGGCAGACTTGCTTGATTTAATTTTAATTTCGTTGTGCGAGATAGTTGCCTGTACCTGGCTGAAATCGTAAGACAAGCGAATATCAAGACTTAAGCGGCTTTCTGAACTAAATATGATGGAGCTGGGTATCTGTGAACAATTAACTGGGAAGGATCAGGAAGGAAATTGTAATGTAGCTACACGAAGTACAATCCAATAATTTTCTGCGGGGCATAGCTCCTCACACCATCAACTCGGCATTAGAGAAAGTTGAGAGGCCAGCTTCACATTCTGGTTACTCTACCACCGGAAAAAGAGCTTCAGGTACACGCTCTATGGAAGGCTGGATGGGCCCTAGAGCCAATCTGACGCGATGGCGGCAAAACGTCCCTGCCTCTGATGGGTATTTAATCCCGATTGCCCAGCTCAAACCCACTCACAATACCGATTGAGTTATCCCGGTCAACTGGTGATAGGTGATGGGAGAATTAAGAAGTGGAGCAAATGAACGCTTGTCGTGCCCGTCTGTCTGTCGGTATAGTTCATCTCCGAAACTACTCAAAGGTCTTCCATGAAACTGATTGGGTGTGGACATCCATAATCAGAGTCGTCGGGAGATTACCATTTCGGACCATATCAGTCCACTTCACCTTCATCATTAGCGCCAAGGTTTGAGCCTTCTTGTCCATTCCTTCTTCCTACCTCAGCTGTGGGCGTCCGTCGTTTTTTTATATATGATTCAAAACTTTTCCACATATCGATTGAGGTTCAATTGATTTGAAGCTTTCACGGCGACGCAACCCAATAAAATCCTCTCGGGCTATCAGCCGAGTCAAATGGTTAAACTATAAAACCGACGTTTCAGGGACAGGTTCTGAAACTTTGGATTTTAGTGTTGAACCATTTGACGCGGCTGATCGCCCGAGAGGATTTTATTGACGTTCAATTCTTTCAACATGCTGTGTTTTGAGAGTTCTGTTGTTTCTAATTTTGGTATTTATAAATACAAACCTGAAGGCAAACGAGGCAAAGGCCGTCCACAGAAACGTTGGAATGACCAATTTTAATTGCAGAGTACTGCATCCTATTTACTCGAACAGAAAATTCCTTGGAGACGGAACAGTCTATAACAGACTAAACCATGGAGATGATGAAATTAAAACTGTCCAGTTTATCACAAAATGATTTTTTTGCCTATCTATAGACAACACTGAATTTTATAGCAATGTGTTAAATGAACTATAGCCTAAAATCAGAAACGTATTCGATGCCCTTGATTGAAGAAAAAGAACTCTGTGGTCCTAACAGCGAGAGAGAGAGGAGAGAGTAAGTGAGAAATCAATATGGGACAACAAGCAGGTTTCCAGGACCTTGAGTTCATTCCCCTCCTGTTGCATGGACCTTGATCCAGATCGTTCACTTTGATAACTCGATCCTATCAAAATAATCTCTTCGCTCAAAGCAACCTCCAAGAATTACGCTTGGCGCCATGAGGCCCGTCACCCTAGAAACATTTTTTCTTGGCGTCTTGCTGATTGATGTGTGTGTGTGTATATATATATATATATATATGACTGCTGTATTAATAGAGGTGAGCGCGAAATGCAGGAAATTAATCAATAATGGGACGACAATGTGTGTCCGACTATTTAATGTCCAATGGAATTTAATAAACCTATCCCTCAATGATGAATTTCCAATTTATGAATTTTCTCTAGAACGAACCATGCACATCTATACATTTTTTAAATTGTCGAACACTATTTTAGCTACAACGAAGATTCAAAGTATTTATGGTTGACTCTTTATGCTCATTATACGTACAGTAATTCAGGATTAAATAAAGACAACTGTTTATTATTTGCACAAGAGGCCCGATTGGCCAACGTGCAGTCAATAAAAAAATTGGGTCAAATAGACACTGAGCACAGACGAGATCTCCCACAACTACAGTACCCCGAGGATGAGGACGAAGATGGTTCTCGAAACGTTGGTTGTTTCTTCATTAAGCCACCTTACACGGCTGGTAGCCCCAGAAGAATTTATTATACTTAGTCGCCGTGAAAGCTTCAGATCATACGAACTGTTTATTATTTGTTTACGTAAGTTCTGATGTTTAAACTGAAAACAGAGTCAACTGTTGTGCAATGTAATCGTTTGCTTAAACACTTGAAAGGTTAAATAGGTAATAAATATCAAAAAGTAATACCATTCTTACTTATTTTTATGATTGTATAGTATTCTAAAAGTACTGGGTGATTTTCTGGAAGTAGGAAACTTGACACATCGTTGACTTTTCGTCGGCATTCTATCTGAATTTCGTTGATATTAGCCACACATCGAAAAGACCGTATTTGCTACGAATTCTAACAAAACCTCGCGAGTTAGTACCATCAGCCTGCATTTGTCCTCTCTCTTCTACCGTATTCATACTGAACGCTCAGTCACTCTTATAATAGTCTCACGTAAGTTAATTACATTCTAATTATATTGTTGGCAGAGCCACCTACCGGCAGACGCTTTGTATTACCGCAATCTCACTCAGCATGGTTACATTTTTATTGCGCAGACAAAGCTATGAAATTATCTTCACAGTTGCCTTAAGACGCATAAATTCATGAACGAATTAGAACAGAATTTCAACATATTGCATCATATACGAGCTTCGTCCTTGATGACTAAAGATGATACAGAGTCATCCGCGTCTATATATGGACATAGGTTCTTCACTGACCTCGAGGTTTAAGATCCAGCATCAAATATAAATATTTTACCGCAACATGGGACAATCCATCTAATTAACTCGCTCATTTTACTAAAGTATCTTCGAATTGTTAGACCAGTAGTCAATTTGTGGCTTAATTTTTTTTTTACAGTAAATGACAACTGCGTCAGGACTCGCCGCCTAAATACCCACAACACGAAAAGGTGAAAGTAGGTTTACGTCATCATTTTTACACAACTGTATAAAAATCCAGGTCTTATTCTAAATGTTACTGAAACCAATGGACAAAACACGATTCAGAAAGTGACACATGTTTCATAGAATATGGAATGTATAACAGGGAAAAGCTAATGTGACACGGTCAATAAATACAATGACAGTTTCCCACACAGTTTTTGAAAACACGAAATTGTGTTTTGTGAACTTCGCCAGATTATGCACGACTAACTAACAGGTACCCTCTCTGGCGCCAATTAAAGGATTTCTAAACTTTAATTTACTATACGTTATAAAATTTAGAAGTATTAAGTAAGAATTTATTGAAGAGATGTGATATAAGAAATAAGTAATTTATTGTTTCAATAAAATTTATTTGATGAAAATCGCAAAAAATCTAAAATCGAACGAAATATAATTGGTAGGCTTACTTTATCAGCTACAATATTTACGTATGGGCTAACTTTCAATTAAAGTGCATGCAGACTATGTGCTTTCATGAAGCACTTTATCCTTGCTGTTGAATAATTGCCAACAATCAAACTACATCAGCAATAAATGAACATCAAAACCAGCGAATGATTCAAATCACAAAGAATGCACGCCTTTGTTAGCAATGTGGTCCCTTGCTTACATTTTGCATCAAAGGATTTATGAAATATTTCAAGCACAGATGACTGTTTTAATACACTGTATAAACAATATAACTTCTACGAGGTGCGGTCGGAAAGTTTCAAGACTGTGTCAATAGAGGGCGAACCGGATGTAGTACGAGCTTCTGCCGCTAGGGGGTGCGGCCTACATTCATAGTGAATCAGTGTGCCAGCCGGCAT